CAATAGGGCAATGAGGGACGTGGCCCATTGCTGTGGCAGAACAGCTTGTGCCTCTATCTCATGGAAGATCTGGACAAGATCCTGCATTGCCTGGTACGGGAGGTCCTTGAGATAGTCAAAGCTGATGCCATCGAGTCCCGGCGCTTTGAGGCTGAGGTGTTTGATCGTGGTCCAGACCTGTTTCGGGTGCAAAGGTGTCATGTTCTTCCCTTGCTCTGCTCCTTGTTTGATCAACTCAGCAAGTTCAGGTAGCTGTTGTTGGATTCCCCATATGTTGCCCCATTGCTGTTTTCTGCATTCCATCCTCTCGTGACGGGGCTTGTCCTGGAAAGGTCGGAGGTAGGGCATTTCATCTCTTTTTAAGGATCTGTAGAGCCCCCGACAGCCTTTCTGGGAAGCCTTGACCAGCCATTCTCTGTAAGCTTGGGTCTCTTGATCAATGGCCTGTTGTTGATGCAGCTCTCTCACTTGCTGAGTATATTGCAGGAGCACCCGGACATGTTCATCATCTATGTGTCCCCATAGCATCTGGTAGAGAAGCTGGAAGCCTTCCAAGGTGATGGCGCATTCATCATGCCAGTGTTCTTGGAGATGCCAGCCCAGACGCTGAAGGTGTTGAAGGGGTGGATCCATGTGGTGGTGCTTCAGCAGTTGTTGGAGCCGGACTTCAACTTGACCCCAAAATGCCAAACTGCCTCTCTTCCGAATCCACGGTTTGCTCGGATCCTGCAGTGGCTTTTGCAGCAACTGTAGCTGTGTGCCTCTCCCATAGGTGGGCTTGTCTAGCCCTTGCAGCACATAGCGCTCAATCTTGTGATACAAGGCGCCAAGTCTCTGTGTCATAGGAGTTGGCTTTGCTTCCATCCATTGGACAGGTACATCTCGATATTCAAGTTGATGCCACTCCAAGACCGGATTGGTGAGTTTGGGCGCTGGGCTGAATTTTTGAATCTGTTGAACTACCGGTGCTGCAAGATCATTTAGCCAATGGAAGAGCAGTTGCGCATGTGGCTTGAAAGGCACTTCCCAACTTGTCCTGACCGACAAATCCGCAATGAGGGATGTAGAGACCAAGGCCCAGTCCAGCTCATTGCCACTGTGGCAAGTGGCTTCCCCGGTAGCCAACACTTGCACCTGCATGATGGTGCCCATGGTGGTGGTCATGAACTCTTCAGGTGTGACGTTGAAGTCACCACAGATGAGGACAGGCTTCATCACACTGGTGACAAAGGAGATCAAGCCGGCCCACAACTGAGCATTGGTGTGCCCTTGGATGCCCTCTCCAGTGCGGAAATAGGCCATAACCAGGAGGACTTCAGCATCAGCAAAGGTCCATTGCACTGCATACCACCCACAGCCATCTATGATTTGCTTGTGCACATAGTGGAAATGCATGTGAGCCGGATAGTGTGACCTCCGTGTGTGCCTCCTTTGCTGCTTTCTGCTGCTGGGTGCCCCAGGACACCAAACCCCCGGGCAGTCAGCCATTGTTGAACCTTCTGGTAGTCCTCCGGTGCCAGGTGAGTTTCCACCATGAGGATAGGGGCTCTTGGTCTCGTAAGCAGCCATTGTCGCACGGGTTGCCCCATGTTGGTGACATTGGCAAAGGCAAAACTGACTCCGGTGAGGCATCTCCTTTTTGCTGGTTGTTCAACTTCTGCAAGCTTTGCTCCACTAGGGAATTCACAGCTAACGTCAGGTGGTAAGAGCTCTGTTGAAGGCAAGGCCCATACTTGGACAATTTGTCTCTTGATGCCCTCAGTGATGTCAGGCAGAGGTCGTGGGAAGGAAGTGTCATCAACCATCCAGTAGACCCCTCTGTACACAAAGATGCCATAGTAGTGACCATTCTGGTGTTGGTTGCCAGAGTGGCAAAGGAGCCCAATCAAAGAGTACTGTTCTGTTTTTGTTTCGTTGCCGTCCAGCGTGTATGGAAGGTTGAAAATCGTTGGGACATTGAGAATCTGATGGTGTTTCGTCCATTCACCTTCAATCAGATCATATCTTCCGATTTGGCCCACCCATAGGCCCCTTCCATCTGCTACTTGGCCTTCTCCCTGATTTGCCCATTGCGCTATCAGTTGTTCTAGTTCTTGTTCCTGTTGGTCACCTGGGGAGATCAAGTGAATAGGGAATGACTTCCTCTTGTGCACTTGCTGTCGATGGTCTACATGATAGTAGCCCGGAATGATGCGTGCTGAATCAGCCAAATCTGCAAGGGCCATCAGGAAATGAGACGCATCATCTTGGATCTGATCATCAAACTGCTGCCAGAGCGGCCTCAGTGTCGGGAGTGATGTGATGTTCACCACTCCATCATCTTGGAGAGCCGCATGGACTGCTGCTCCAGTTTTGTTCCAGAGCTGCGGTCCGCCCAAAAAGCTGCCCGCCCAGGACCAAAGTCTAAAAGGGGCATTAGCAAAGCACCGATTGCGATAGTTCCCAGTGCGGCACTGAAGGTTTTGGATCACATATTCCAGAGGTGTCTTGGTAGCCATAGTCGGAATGACCACTGGCTGAAGTTCTTCTTCATCATGAGCAGGGTCCATGGTGTCATCCAAGGGTCCCGCTCCCCCACAAAATCTTGGGACAGCAGTGAACTGTTCCATCAAGGCCAGTTCGACATGAACCGGCGCCCCAAAAGCACAGGTGCTGTTGTCCTGTGATGAACCCTGCTGCTCTGAGCCTCTATGCACATGCCCAGCCATAGACCAAAGATCATCATGTTCCCCTAGATGAGCAGTCCATGTCTGACATGTGTCAACCCCTGTTGCCATCTCGTCCTCAATCGGGTTACCCACACTTTCGTCTTTTTGCGGCTGTCTCCTCGAGCTGTCGTGCAAAATCAGTGACCTGTTCAGCTGTGGCCTGTAGGCCAACTTTGGCCAAAATGGTCACCAGTTTCTCGGGGGCTAATGTGAAATCTTGGTCGTCATCAACGGCTTCGTTCTTTTCCTTCTCAAGCTGCTGGTTGTATTTTGTTGTTGTCTCTTGTAGTTCTTTCTGAGCCTGTTCAATCTTGTTCTGCATGTCCTTTAGCTCTTGGAGTAGTGCCGTGTATTGAGCCTTGACTGCATCTGCCTTTTGCTGAAGCACTGCTTTCTTTTCAGCCAGCTGCTTGAGGTTGCCCACTGACTGCTTGAGCTTGGTGGCCAGAGTGGGTTCGGGCTTGTCCGGCTCAACCAGCTTCTCGACGGCCTCCTTGAGATCACTTGGCAAGCTCTGCAAATGCTCCTTAATCAGGGTCGGTAGATCTGCCGGAGCTGGCGGAGCACTGGCTTGAAGTCCCATGGCTTCACACTGGGTTTTGAGAGCTTGTGGAAGTGTGTCCCAATGTTCCTGCACGGCTTTCTGAAGGACAGACTGCTTGACTTTGGTCTTCTTTGGTCGACTGCAGCCCAGGAGGTGGGTCCAGGAAGGCCTGCTTGTAGGTCCGGGTTGGCCATTGCTGGCCAGTGTTGCGGAAGTTCCATTTTGCCCACTGCGTAGTTCTGCGGTGGTTCTTCAAGTCAGCTAGGCTACGTTCTTGCCATGGATGTCCGCATTGCTTGCATGTCAGTCCTGGTTGTGCTATCACTCTTGTTTGCCATATCCAGCTTTGATGACATGATTTGCAAACCAAGTAGGCCGGCTTCATGGCGATGTCCTCGTGCTTGGTCGCAGGATTCTGCCTCTCCCACGCACCACTATGGCGCGCAACGGATCCGGCAGCTGGATTTGTATGGGACCAGCTTGAGAACCTGAGATGGCTTGAGCCTTGAGCCTATATGGTTGTATGCATATAACATGTGTATATATATATACCCAAACACTGCATGCATGGAATAAATAGTTTATATATAATTTTTAGTCATTTATTTTATACAGTTCTATAAAACATATGCCTACACTGACCCCTTTTCAACGTTAAGCAACTATATATATATATATATATTATATATGTTAATATTTTTTTCCTGGGACTCGGAGCCTGAGGTCCGTCAAATAGAAGGGATCCACATGAGCATCCGTGTGCCACACGAAGAAGGCGCTGTTGTTGGCGCCACTCCGCAGGGCGGATTCGGCGTCGGTGCGCAGCACCAGATCCCTCTGCAGCAGGTTGGTTTCGCAAAGCTCCACGATGGGCTCAGCGAACACATGGAGGTACGCGAAGGCCATGGTCAAAACCTGAAGAAAGGGAGTTGCTCAAATTCCTAGGAGCTTGGCAAACACTTTATATAACTTTTGATGCACTGAGTGTTTGATAGTTTTGGCACCTGCAGGTTGACAGTTGAATTGACCACTACTTCAATACCTCCATATTCTTCCATATTAGCTGCAACCACGATCTGCTCATGCCGACAACCTGTCCAAACGTGCATGAGAAAAAATAACATGCCAACATGTAACCTAATGATCCCAATGCCATCCAATGCCCTCTGAGGCAAGCACATGGCAAGCCCACCTGCCCACACACTACCGCCCAGTTGGGCTCTCATCGCCCCCCGAAACGGCTTGGAGCCGCGTGACCATATGGCCGCATCTTCTCACCGCCATGGCTGCGAACCACCCGGAACCACCCGTCGCACCGCGGGATCGTGCGAGCGCGCCACCGCGGGATCGAGCGAGCGTGCGAGAGCGGTAGCGTGGAACCCGCGCGGCCCCAGGCAGTGGGGGGGGCGGCTACAAGCAAAAGCGTAAAACGTGAAGCCGAGCCAGAACGGCTGACGCCTGCAAGAGCTATACTTCGCACGAGCCAATTCAGCTAGTTCACACACGAAAGACAAATCTGTGATGCAAGTTCTCAGCTACTTTCACAACTTGGGACTTGAGAGCCAAACTTGTTCTTGTTTTGTGGGCGAAAACATCATCTCGCACGACCTTCTGTGCAAACGCAGGGCATCCTTCCTCATTACTCCTACCTCACCGAGTTGTTTTCCTTTTTCCTCATCCCTTCGAATCTGTCTGCTTGGAGTCCTGTCCCTCCACCTCCCACCACCTCCGACCCCGGAGCAAAGCACCTCGCCGTAGCCCAGCGGTCTCGACGACCCGGAGGGCTCCGCGAACTCCATCGCGGCGCGTATCCCGCGCGATGGAAACGCCCGTGCTCCCGGCCGCGCGATACGCGCGTCTCCGGGGGTCTATGGGCGATGCGGAGTTCCGGCGGTGGCGAGATCTGTGTTCGGCCTCATGTAGCTTGTGGAAGAAAGGCGTTCTGCCAGATTTCTGCTGGAACATCTGCTCGAACCATGTCGAGCTGACTCATCCACTAGTTACTTCCACCTTTATGGTGCAAAGGCCTTTTGGGATCCGGTACCAAATAAGTGCTGAGCTGTGGCTGTTAAACACCGGCTTGTAATTGGCCAGTTGATTGATCATGCCTGCCATTCTAGAGCCATGCAAGATCCAAACACGCCATAGCACTTAATGAACTGGAGCAGCCATGACAGAATGAACACAGAACTGATTTCCATGCAGCCAACGAAGCATGGACATCTTTGACTGTCCTGTGGATGCAAAGTGATAGAAAGGTTAGTATAGTATCTATCAACGGGCTTCTGCGAGCCTACTGAACAATGACTGAACCAGGCAAGGGTTTCTGTTTCGGGCACTTCTCCTCTAAACTAACAAAGTCTAAAACTAGCCCATCAACCAAACATAACATCAAAGTGATGAAAAGCTGGCGAAAGTGTGAATTCAGATGAAACTATTATACATATGGAGAGACACTTGGCCGTCATCCACGCCTCCTCAGCCTCAAACAGCAATCCCAGTTTACATGGTCATGCCCACCTGGGCTCCAATCTAGCTTCTTGAAGCACCTGGGCTCCAAAGAACAACTCATCACATTCCCAAACCCTTAAGAATTATTCATATAACAGGCTTTGTGGTGAACCTTCGGCCTTGAAAAAAGATGATCCGAAGACATCCCAAAAAGACCAGTTCAGGTGGTGGTGAACTCACTCCACATCCATGGAACCGTCAGGATGAACTAACCATGGAGTCACAACGTGTGGAAGGTGACATAACGTGACCAAACGTGACATCACCCCCATCTTGCAGTCACAATCCACCATCCTCGTCCCAACCGACCCGCAAAACCTTTTCAACCGACCCGCGAAGCCCCGTGTGGCGTCGCGTCCAGGTGGCGCGTGAGGAAAAGCGGTGCCTGTGGCGAAATACCGCGGTGTTGAATCCAGGCGTTGAAGCCAGGCAAGCTCGGGTCAACAACGGATGGGTCTCAACATGAATGGGGCTGTGAGACGGCAAATGCCTCTAGAAAATAGGGAATGTAGATGGAAACCAAAAAGCACAATACATCAATACATGCCCATAATGGTCGACGTCTGATTCGGTTGCCCACAAGATACCATGCAGTGACAATATGGCAATCTGCGTGCGAGATGCTGTAAATTTCAACAATGAAGGTAGAAAAACACCCATTAGCTTCATTCAACTTGTCCAAAAACAGTGTCATTCAACAAGTCTAAGTCAATATTGACCTGATCGGAGATTCAAGAATTTGTTGGGGTGAACTTGCGGATAGGTCAACGCATGCCAACTATATATCATCTAACGGTGTGAAACACGTTTGTTGTAGTTTGTAATTGTAGCACGCCACAAGCCGAGCGAAATGTTGGCAAAACCATAACAGGAGGCAGGACCTACAAACAAGCAAGAGCAAAAACTTGCCAACACAACAAGCAAACCAACTTGCATCTGGCATTATATATCTGATAGCTTCCTGTCAAACAAGTATAGCATAACTATAGCTTAACTAATTAAGCTATAATGATAAATTAATTTAATGCTCTTTTCATCTCTTTTCAGGACATATCTTTGACTGCCTGGACGAGACAACAAGGCAAGGACATGTCATGCGTGGCCTCCTTCTCCTCCTTCTCATTTCGGACAACTTCCAAAGCAGGCTAGAGCATACAGCTCACTCTGCAGTCGTCCGCGCGTAACCACATCCAAAAAGAAATCAAAGCCACTCAAAAGGAAAGATAATCCAGCACTGGCACTTTTGGAGGTTCCCACAGTGCATCACTCAGGGACATTATATAGATATATATATATATGTATACACTTACTTACTTAGCTCAAAGTTACAAACTATATACAAATGTTGTCAAAAGTTGGCTTGTCGACGGTAGTAGAAGAATCCTGATCAAACGGCTGATTCCTCGGGTGGCATCCTAGTCCCACATTGACATATTGATCTGAGGGAGGGTAACTTTGTTGTTTCGATGGCAAAGTACCTGAGAGTCTTCCCAGGGCCAGCCTGGAGTCCAGAGCTTTGTCTCGTCAACCTTCTCCCAGCTTCAGCCTCGAAGGAAGGGGAATGGGACATCGAAGCGACCCAGCGCAGCAAAAAAGAGCCTAGCGAAAAGCACGTGCCCTGCCGAAGCCCTACATCAGGCTTAGGCAACACGGCTGATGGGTTTGTCAAACCATGCCTTCATAAATTTGAGTGTGTGCAGTTTTGGTTTCATTATCCTGTATTGCATTGTGCAGTTCCACAAATCTCAACGGCAATTTTTATGTCCTCTTCCATGCCAAGCATCGCTACATGCCACCATCCCTTCTCCTTTTTCTGCTCTCCATCATGTCCAAATCCATCTGATTCAAAGTCAAAAACTCAGCACACTGTACTGCTCTACTCGCCGAGGCCGCAGTCGGATGCCGGCCAAGCTCGAGAGGATTGGCGGGTCTGGTAGACTGACCTCTTCATATATTGGGGGGGAAGATATTAATCAAGATCCTATATTCCAAGAGAGGTTGAACACCCTTCTAGCCCATCCCATATGCCACTACAGGGCCTAGTTCAGGTCTCTCAACCGATCCTACATGACCCATTGAAGCCCCGTGTGACTTGGCTGATTGCTGATTTACAACCTCTCCACACTCTGAAACGGCAGGTCGTTGGCACCAAAAAGCGGGATGCGTTCGGTCCTTTGCTGCGACGGAGAAGGACGTAGTTCTCAATCCCTTCTTCATTCATTCCTGGGAAACCAAACCAACAGAAACAACTACTGGATGTTTCTCCAAATCCTTCAAGGATGTCTGATCCCTTCTTCATTCATTGCTTACTGCTGAAATGGTTTCTGCATGGTTTGTACGCCCATGACTCAACGACTTAAATTGTGGACCTTGCTCCGATCCCACCCCAGCTGGCCGATACCCTCCACATCACCTCCAGCGCCATGCGACTTGCACACCCTGAAGTTGAAGGATGTTGAAGGTGTCATGGCTAACTGTGGCTAGACATCTCTTGACATCTGCCGACTGCGCCTCACATTTTGCTGCGAAGGTCATAAGACGGCCAATGCATGCTGCGAATGCGGCAAGACGGCCAATGCACCATTTGCCCTCGTTGAACATGTTGAACCGTATGTTCTTCTTCCCGACCATCTTCTGGCTTGACCTCGCTTTTGCGGCAAAGGAAGGATATTAAGATACTAAATTGACAAAACCGGAAGATGGGGCAGGGAAGCATCGCGTTTGGAGTTGGGATTGAGAAGCTGCCCTCTGAAGACAAAACATGCAACCCAAAGAGGCACACTTGACAAAGAAACTGCATGCAATCTGGCAAGCCTGTCTTGTCCACAACGGAGGAAACAACACATTCAACACCACGCGACAAGTAATGTAAAGTTCTCCACCTGCTCCTCGTCCACAGGTGGGCTTAAGAAATCGCACCCTCCGCTCGTGATAGTCCCTGCAATCTTGCCGACTCCGGCTCCGAAATCAGCTTGGATGTTATACAACATAGTGGCGTTGCTGGCTTTCAGCTCCACTTTGATGGGAGAGGCAGTTTCATTCATAATTTGGATAGGTTTCAGGACTTGACACTGTGACACCATCGATTTGCCGTATTCACCACCCCAAGCTTCCACGTAGCACTTGCTGCAATGTTTGCAGCGGACCACCACTTTTCTCCCTGAACTGCAGCAAGACCACCATTGATCGGCTGAACCTGTGCACGCTGCCCCTCACCTTTGTTATAGAAGCACCATGTTGCAAAGTGTTCGCAATTCTGACAGTCCCATTCATAACCAGTGGGACCAAACTCGGTACCAACCTTTTCTCTTGCCCAATCCTGAGCACTTCCGCTCAGCATGTTTGGGGCTTTGAGAGGCGGCGAGTGAAGGAAAGGCACCATACTCTTCCCAGAACTTGCTCGCAGTCTCCTATTTCAATTCTTCTGGAACGAAATGAAACACTTCACCACTCAGGAGATCCAGGATCGCATGGTGTTTGATCAGCCAACATGAAGAAGCGATGTGAAGCACTCCATGCATCGTGACCTGTTCACCCATCACGCAGCTGGTGGACCAAGCCGCCGCGAGAAGTGAGGCGTCCGGGTTTTCAAGCAAGTACTTGATAGCTTGAGCCAACAAAAGAAGGTTGGCTTAACGACTTCACAACACACAGAAACGTAGATAGAGTGGAATCTTTGCCCTGCCTCCTATCAGCATGCACTCTGGCCAAGACTTGCTTGATGCACTTGATGCATGCAACTCTTGACTCTTGACCATCATTGACCATCCAGTCACTTTCCATTCACAGGATATTCACCCACTCTAGCTGTCAGCATTTTCCTGCATTTGGTCAGCCTGGGCCCCCAGCAGTTCCGCAAGTTCTGCAGCTGGTGACCCAAACTCCTGCTGGTGATACCCAGCGCTGAACCAAAAAAAGACTCACAGTCTAAGTCAAAGACCGAGGTACCGTCTAAATTTCAATGATGGCGCAGCTGGCGCACACATGTTAGCTCCAAGTTACGAAACACAAATTGCTAAAACTGAACGGCATAATTGGTATGTGTCCACAAGTAGCAACCTCCTCCTAACTACCTCCAACCGGGTTTCTGTTTAGTGAATGCATCTGAATGCTCACGTTTCCGTTTGTTTCAAGGCAGCACGATACCGTTACCCAACGACAAATCTGCCATCTGATCCGGGAGACTTGATTCATGGTGGAAGGACCCGGCCAACACAAAACACACAAGAGGAGTACAAACGGTCCAGTATGCGGCTCCTACCCCAGCCTTGCGTCAGGAACCAAGATGCAATGAAGGACCTTAAGTTCACTGGCAGGGGTGACCAAATCAATCACGATCGACCTCACTTTGGCATTTCAGCCAGCTGAAAAAACGAGCACGACAATATACAATGGGAATCCTGAAGGCGAATCATCCAACTCACCCACATGTAGATTGCCCCTGCTTGCACATCAAGCCGCCCTATGCCATGCAAATTGTCACACAGGCTATCGGAGGCTGAAATTCTTGTCCGCTTGATTTAGCAATAATGTCAACATATGATTACAGTAAGTAACCTCCCCCTATTAATCAAGCCCAGCTCGAGCCCCCAATGCTAAACTAATTAGTTAAAGCCTGCTACATCGCGCTAAGAACTTTTTTGGCTGGCAGAAACCAGCCCAGGTCCCCCAAACAAAAAACTATTCGTTTTGTATGGCTTTGTGTCTATGTATTTTTATTTCCTTTTTGGCTAGTATCCAATATCTTCTGATCCATGGTGAAACTGATCTTCTGATTCCCTCCCCCATTGGGAATCAAATGCCATAATAAGGTCATACCGTCATACCAATCCCCCACAGGCCACCAGTCATCAGACCATCCAGTGCATGGATCCACCCTCACCACAAATAGCCTCCACCTCCCATTCCTCATCCTCCATGCTTTGATATGCAATGATCCAATTCGCATGGCTCTCTGATCAATCCTATCTGATCTCTGATCAAACTTGTGCCCATACACTCAGACCCTTCATGGTTCTCATGGTTCTAACTCTCATGATTCACACACCATTCCATCAACCATCACCCATCATCATGTCCAGGTCCTCATCGCATCATCGATCATCTGGTCATAATCTTTATTAAGGGGATGTGGTCTCCAATCCCTCCAATCCCAAACCTTGTTGACCTTGAAGGCGGGGTGATTAATCCTACGTCGACATTAGTTTTGACTGGCAGTTCCGAACACAAGCAACTTGCGGCATGCATACCTCAGCTCCGCCTGAGGTAATCACCACACAATTTGACACGTTGTTCTGCACGCGAACCTGTTTCTACCTTATTATTCACCAAAACATCCTGCCGCACTGTAGCCGATGTCTCGTTGGGGGTTGGCTGATGTTTTTTCATTTTCAGGTGCTGGTTGCCCTGCAGGGCCGGTTCGTGAGCCCTGGCGGCCCCGGGCCAGGCGAATCAAGCTTCTTTCAGTGCAAACATGCCAGCAACTTCGGACTTCTGGCTTGACTCTTGGGAAAACCACGTCGAAAACTCCGAAGGCTGCGATGGTCCAAAAAAGCCGTGAGCATCATGAAGGACTTGTGCCACTTAATCACTGACCCAATGTGGCCGTGACTGCAAAAACTTTCAAGGTGAGTTAACGTGGGCCATAGTCTATAGTGTTTTGATCAATGTTTCTCAATGTAGCTGACTCTCAGTGGCAGCACCGCAACAAGCTAGAACTTTGATGAATTTTGCTGTCTCTTGAGTTTGAATCTCTTGTCTCTCCATCCCGGTGGGACCGGTGTCCCGAGTCCGCCGCCAGGAGCCCGAACGCCCAGTCCGCCGTCAACCCGTCATCTCATGGAGCCTCCGTCTCAAAGTGGGGCACCGAATCAATGAATGAACTATCCGTACCCTATGGATCCACATACCTTCTCAGAAGCTATTTGGGCCCTCCTGGCGCCTACTTAAATAGTCTCCAATCACCTTCTCAGAAGGTATATATGTGGATTCACAGGGGTATAATGAAAAGCCAGCTTTCCACATCTGCAGGCGCCACAAAAGTAGGGGATAGGGCCTAGGCATACGGATGGGATAGGACCGGAATGGGTGAGATATATGGGTCCGTCTAGACCCTAGACCCTACTGACGGTCGAACCCCTATAGGTGGGACTTCTATGCATCTTAGGCGGAAGTAGAGCGCCTCGTCTGTGCATCAATGGTGTTGGGCATGGAAAGTCTCAGCTTCGTCGGCCAGGCGTTCATAGGCGTCCTGAGTTGCGGAGTTGGCAACAAGTTCCATGGCTCACTTTTTTGTGTAAATAGCACAATGTAGTGTAGGCAGGCTTCGTGACCATGCTAATTTCTTGTGCCCGGGAACTTGCTTGTTTGATTTGTTTGGGTGAGGTTTTGCTTCGAAAGCCCTGAACGATATGACTTGTAGCAGCGGAAGCCAGTGATGACAGACCCAACAAAGTTTCTCCAAACCACAAGCCAGCGATGTATGCATGAGGATCTTTGGTCAACAAACTCCCCACTTCCTGCGATCTATTCAGCATACAAACATGCCGCCACTTCAACTGTAGAGTCGGATCTGTTGGAAGGGATCAACCTCCGTATAGATTGTAAAGGGGCTCATCTTGGAACCTATATGAACCTATCCTATCATTGTCAATAAACTTCAATAAACCTTGGTGCTGCCGGGACTCCAAAGCTGCTCGTCTCATCAACGAAGAACGGTCCGCAACCACTGCCTCTCCACTCTTGGGCGCATCGAATCCTTGGAACAAGAGGCAATGGACCCTGAAATTCCTGGAAGAGACCCACATGGAACCTGAAAACCAGTTGGGTTCAACACCGTCTTACAATGTTGGCCAATCTAAGGAATTCCTTTGAGTTCTATATATATATATGGAGGAACATCGTCTTAGAATGTTTGCCAATCTAAGGAAATCCTTTGAAAGACGATGTTCCTCGTACTACAACCCACTGGTTCCATAAGGGGCTCTCTTCCCCAGAAACCAACGACCGGGCCGTCGGACCGTTGACCGACCTCATCCTCAGGTCGAAGTCCAACAAGGGACCTACGCCGGGGGAGGAGGTGCGGGTTTGAACATGGAGAAGAATCCTTCCACCCCAAACCAGGAATGTGATGTACCAGTCAGGCCCAAGTGACCTCTTTGGAGTGCCCAAGTGACCTTTTTGGAGTGCCCAAGTGCCCAAGTGACCTCAATGAGTGATCTCAAAGGGTCACTGTGAAGAGCCAGGTAAGATCGTACATTATCACTTACACCCTGGAAGACTAACATGGACCCTGAAAACCACTGGTTGGTAGAGGAAAACACTCTTCCAGGGGGCCATTGTCAGGGTCTATGTTAGTTTTCGGGAGTGTAGTTGTTGACATGTTTCAAGCAAATGGTCTGCTGTCTGGTCCTAAAGGCCCGCGTCCACACCAGCAGCCTTGTTTTCAGGAAGAACGCGGCTTAACCCAACGGTCGACCACCTAACCATGCAAAGCAACCCCAACAATGCACCTCTTGAAAAAGAATATTTACCAAGATTGAACATGTGATTTTGAATCATGTCGATGGTGTCCAGAATTTCCTAGCTGGCCATCTATATCATTCTATATATCTGTTGAACAGTCTCCGCAAACACGAACACCTCCAGTTCAGGCCTTTTTGTTCACCCCTCTTCCGCCCCTCGTCCGTCCATCCTCTTCCCACGTGTCCCCCGGAACCTTCAGCCTTGCAGGGGACAAGTGGCCCAATCGCCCCATGCCTCCCATGAAGGTCATGGATTGCAACTCGGAGCCAAGTACAATACCTTTCCCCAATTCGCGACCGGCCGAGCGCCCGCGCTCGAACGATGCGGACGTTCCGGCGACGCGACCGCCCAGTATCACAACACCACGAAGGGTTCGCTCCAAGTAGCGCGCGGGCGACGTGGCGCGATTTTTGCGCATGGAAGTGAAAGAGTGGGAAAAACGAAGCCCTAAAGCTCCAAGTACCTTCTAAATAAGGTGTTTGGGGTGGGTTTGGAGGGTCCAAGTACCTTTGAGGAGGTACTTGGATCCCTAGGGTAGATTCGATGGAGTTCACACCAGTCGCCTGTAATCCCGCTGTTGCGGGACTGATTTTCCCCCTACATTCATTCCTCCAGCGCCCTTCAGCTGGTGACCTCGTAGTTAATGTTGCTCTTGTTGAACAAGCTATGCTGCTGCGGCAGCACTGCTGCGTCTTCCCAGTCACCCCTTCCACCCAAACCATGTAGAAAGTGCATGGGCCAGGCAAGACACAATTCAGTCGAATTGGCGGTTGCCCATGTTCAGTCGGGAAGTGAATGTGGACCGTGATGTCAAGGCTGGAAATCCAAACGGCTATGGTGTACCTCTCCTGGCACAGAAAACTTTTCTCGCAACGGATGGACGTTTGCAAAGACCTACCCAGCCATACCCAGCCTATATACCCAGCATGCAAAGGAACAAAATCAATTGACCATTGACCCACGGCCCCTTACTTAGTGTCCTTTTGGATACTCTTTTGGATGTATTGTTGGAAGCGGTGCCTGCAAGCAGAACGCCATCTTTGACATGCCTCTGACCACTGACTACTGACCAAAAATAATATATACTCTTGATTCAAACAAATACACAAACACTGACTAACTCATCTATAGCTGGAGATATTTGGAGGAGTGTAGGACCTGGGGAAAAAATATCAATCAAGAGTCTACGTAATACATTAATCTGCATTTGAACGGTATATCGGTCCCGGTATATTTGAATATATTTGCTTCAGGAGACCTCAGGGAGAGACCAAAAAACTCCTTCGAATCCCGATTCGAGTCCCGAATCGCGGCGCGAATCGAGTGGTCCGGTCGTACTCCGGCAGAAAGCTCACCATGTCCTCATGTCACGCATCTCCCACATCTCCCACTCAAATCAGCCGATTTAAGCCAACATCTCGCGTTTCCCAAGCCCGCACCTCGGCCTCCTCCGGGTGGCACAGCTCCTCGAAAAGCTGCCGGAGATGTGGTGCCGGGAATGCCACCAAACGACGGAGCTCATAGCCCGACACGTCCTGGACGAAGCGTGGGGTTCGATGGGGGCAAGTCCCTCGAAAACGGTAGATGAATGTCGAAACCCTTCGAAACCCAATAAAGATCAATAAAGTAAAACAAGGGAAGGGAAATGGCACAAAGAAAGTCGTTGTGCCATATGTTTCCTGAAATATGAGAGGTGGGAAGAAATGAAATTGATTTGCTGTTTCGCGCCCGGCGGGTCTTGTTTTGGAGCTTTGTCTGATGATGTGATGGTGACGTGGGATGATGTGGGCCGTTTCTTCTTTTGCAACGTCGGGGTCGGGATCAGTCCTGCCCCCCGTCCCCATCGGGGTCAACCAAAATGGAAGCCTCAGTTCTCCCAAAATGTTACTCCCCTAAGAATCCGGACCCTCGGATACCTATATAGCCTATAGGGCTTGGTTCGGGTCACCCCTGCGTTTCGGTGTCGGGTCCGACCGCCATGGAGGGCCGGTACGGATTCTTGTGCGATATTTGCGACAGGTTTCCTTCGAGCTTCTATCTAGTTTGGGGCATCCTATTCTTTCTCGTCGCACCGTCGTTCCACCCTCCAGTCAGATTGAGATGGGTCCCTTTGTGGAAAGTATAGGGCTGTTGGAGTTCAAAGGCCGGGCGAAGGTTGACCTGGTCACTGCCCCAAAACGCAGGTTGACTGAGCCCGCGCAGGTCCTGCCTGCGATTGAGTGTGACAATGGACTTCTGAGCCACGTCAGGGGTTTCGTCCACCAAGTCAGTGTGCATCATGTGCTCCACAACCCATGGGAGGAGGGTTGTGGGGACTCAAGTTAGCAACACACACACAGAGACAAACAAACAAACAAACAAACACAAACAGGACACCGACGGCCGAGGGAAGTCTTGTCTTCCACTCCAAGCATCAGTGTTGAACTCAACGGCATCACCATGTCCAAACGTCTCAGCTCTTGCCCAAAAGGACTCATCATTGGTCTCCAGCCAGAAGTACCTGAGCGGACAAAAACGAAAAGCATGTAAACTTAAACCTTCCATGGAAGCCTCTCTGAATATCCCTGAACAGAGTCCTGAAGTGCTGACTCTCAAGAAGCCCCCAAACATGTGTGTATGTATAACAGTAATGCATGCATCCTCAAGACTCAGTCCCAGCTCAATTCCCCTTAAGGGTGATATATATATATATAAGGCTTTCCCAAACATGGTGTTTCGCATTTGAGCCAGCAGTTACGCTGTTTTGCAGCACATTCCGAATTCCGACCTGCCCCAAATATGACTGAAGCTTCTAACACTGGTTTCCTTTCGCACCACTCTGTGGTCCTGCCATGGAACCTGGAGAACTGGCCATACCAAGGCACGGGCAGCTGCCCAAGAAGCTCCTCCACTCCACCCAGCGACTCCTCCAGTCGCCCTCATCCGTCACCACCGTTGGCATCAGCCAAGGCGAGGAGTGGCGCAAGCAGCGGGATAGCTGAGCACGTGCGAGAGCGGAGACTTCCTGGTTGGGTGGAATGGAGACCGTCAGGAACACCAGGAGACAAATACAGGGAGGTAGTGACAAGAAATCATACTGGGCATCCACGTCTTGTAATTGGAATGAGTAGAAATTAAATCTGCTCACAATAATCAAGCACCTCTGGAATTGAAAATCCCATGAAACAACATTGTTACCCTGCATCCTACCTACAGCAAACCGGTAACATACATAAAGGGACTGAGGAGTAATACGTGCACACACAAACTACTTCCATAAGACAATCATCAAGTCTCGTGGGTTGGAGAGAAGGAACAACTCTCTCTCTATATATATACAGCATTCCCGGCTCGCAATTCCAAGGGTCAAAAATCCCCGCAAGGCACAACTCCGCATCGTAGAGCTGCCTTCGCCTCAAGAGCTCGTCAAACTTGGCACGGCAGCGCTGCGCCGCTAACCTGAGCTGTCGCCGAGCTAGACTCGCTGACCTCGAGCGAATCGAACCATGTGAGCAGCACGCTGGTGCATCAAAGTGGACGTTGGGTCGAAGGGTGTTCAGAGGTTCGGGACGTGTTGGTAAAAAAAAACTCCGAACTTGTCAATAAATCTCAGTTTCCCGAACCTTTTGCAAAGGATTTCTGCATAAACCATGGATCTTCCAAACAATGTCTAGCCGTTTTGTTTCTCTGGTCGTTTTGGTTGTTGTGCTCTTTTTTGCTTTGCGTTGGTTTTTGCGGAGTTTTGCAGTTTTTTTGCAGGATTACACTGGCCAAACAAAAGTTGCGCTTCTTGAGACACAAACTCATGTCAACCCATACCCCCCTAGAATCCTACATTGAGATACCTGGGGCCGTGTGGGCGGTCATTTTTCACCCCGGAAAGCCTTATGTTAATATAATCTAAAACGGTGTGATAATTGACCGTCCCACACCTGCCACGCAAATTGGACTTGGTAATTCGATCCGCAGCTGACCATACGGCGATTCTTGAACGTGGTTAACAAGCATAAACGTTTGTCTGCCTGAAGTATTGATATTATTGTGATATATTGTGCGCATGTTGCAGAATGCGGCGGTTGTTTTCTTGGTTTCGTTGATTTGCTGGCATTTACGCTGAAAACTGGGTCAATGACCAAAACTACCAGAAATGCTTAATCGTTGGAAAACCCAGGACGATTTTCAAAATATTTCAGGAGCTTCTGACATGGCGTAGCGTATCTGAGCCTTTTGCACGCTCTTCTCAGGAAGATCGGCTGAATCCAGTCTGCAGTCTACCTCCCCTTTGAGGTGATGGAAAACATGGAAGACATATATATGATATATATATATATATATATGTTAAAACTATAGTTAAACCATATACCGTAACTGTACAGTGTACATATGTGTACATTTATGTGAGGTTCCTAAAGCCTTACAGGATACCACATACCGGAGGATCGGTCCTTTGACTTTCGTCCGAAATCTGCAGGGCTGAGTGGGGGGGGCGATGGTTCTGTGATCAGACGATCACTCACCTCCGACCATCCGAAAAGGAGGTACCTGGACCACTACCTGGACCCTATGGGTTGGTGCGTGGTGGTCCTGGAATAACTCGTCATGTGGTTCTGTGTTGTGGTCCCCTCTGGAAGTTTAAAGAAACCAGCGCAAACTCATCGGGCCGCTTGGCCAGTTCCAGCGTGCCCAAGCGCATGGGGCGCAAGACCTTTGCAAAGCCCAATGCAGCTGCCAGCTGCTGAAGGCCCAAGGAACCTCACAGGGATCTTGCCCTGTTGAAACGAGACCCCAAACATTGCAGGGGCTGAACTTGGCTGAACAAATAGTCTTCGCATGTCTTAGTGTTGGAATTCTTTGTAGAGTCTGGGCAGCTCGGGCACGGGCACCCATGTCTCTGATCGCTGAGATGTCACACGCTGAATTGTGAAACACCAACAGCACCCGCCGCAAAACTGATGACTCTAGACTCAAGCATCAATCTGATCCAACTCTCAACTTTCGTCCATCTTATCCCAAACACACCATGGGACTGGCAGGAATACAGGAATACATGCCGCGACACTCATTGACCCTCCGTTTATCACCCCGATTTGGATGGCAAATGTGGCAGTTCCAAACAGGTCGTGTTTGGGTATCGCCGGCCGGTGTCCTGGATCTTGGAGCCAGTGCCGCCATAGAGGAAGGAAGCGCCAGTGCTCCTTCCTGCTGTTCGTTTTCGATGTTCATAAATCAGAACACGGAAAGCACAACTATCACAGGTGGAACTCATACATTTTGCCACACAGGAACTCATACAGACCCCTGAAAGCTCCAAAAAGCTCCAAATTGGTTTGCCAAAAGTACACACTGCACAGCGCTTGGCAGTCTTGCCACGAACGCCATGTCCACTGAATTGGCATTAGGACACTCCTGTCGTTCGCAAAATTGTCTAACAAATAGCATCAAACAGTAATGAAATGCAATGACATTGTTTGCAATTTTCTCCTACGGGCCCACATGCCTTCGCCTACAAGCTACGACTGGACCCTCACTTCGCCTGCACAAAAAGAGGAAACCAATCACCTCAAAGGGGACGTGGCTCGATTGGCTCGATCCTCTGTCCGATTTTCCAAAGAATCCACAAACTACACCATACTCAGGGGATGAGTGCAAAAAAAGTCCTCAAGGCGCAGGCAAGCAAAAGAGGCGGGCCCGTAGCTGAAATCACGGCCGACCAAAGGCAAATGATGCTGGAAAGCTCTAAGAAGCTCCTGAGGCTGTTGATGATGACCCTCAAGTCATAAAAAATAACCTCTCGAAGGAAGCCATAGTCAAGAGTCAGCATGCAAAGAACTTGCAATGCAAGGGTTCAGAAAGCGGGGGAAACACCAAAAGAAGCTCTGTTGGAATATGTTGAAGGTGCATCCCAAATGTAATCCTTGGAATTGGGCTTGTGTGCAAAAGGCATCTAATGGCACGGCTTTCTCACCAAATGTGCCCTGAATGGAGTCATATATGTCCATTCCCATCTGCCAAGAGAGGCACAACTACTGTGGAACTCATAAAGGAAAGGGAAGCCCCTGGTTGCATTCAGACTCTGCATTCCCAAACTCAAAATAGAAAGCCTCTGAATATGGCCTTGCCGAGTGTCAAAACAAGTCCGCCCTCCAAGCATGGCTTCTCCAAACAGAACATGTTGGCCCCGGGACTTTGTCCCACCATGGCTCAGGATGGGATGGAGGTACAAAACTATGAACATTATATATGTGAGTTGTGTACTGAGTTGTGTATGTAACAATCGTCACACTGGATGTCAACATGGCAGATGGAAGGGAAACAATATTTCACAGCACCATCTAATGATGACTCCTCAAAGGTTGTAAGGGGTCTCCATTTGACAACCCTTTGGACCTGGAGCATTTTGCGACTCCAGGAATGATCTCCGAACCCGTGGTTTCCGCAAACAGATTGAGGCCCTCGTGCGGCTGGAGATCAAACATTTGGCGACTTACTCTGCACTCTACCTATACGATACCCCTACACCCTAGGATTCCCAGCACCATCAAACAGTGATTTTTACCGAGCAACCATTGCTTTACTGAAGAATCTAGACTGCAAAACCAGGCCAAATCAGGCCAACCTATGGTCTTGGAAGGCTAGGGAGATGCTCCATCTTTGGACACGGACCGGCCTCAGCCTTTGTCACAAGACCCAGTGGATTGTCATTTGCACAGCACCAGCCTGAGCCTGAGAAGGACCGCATCTGCACCTGTAGATGCTTCTCTGCAGCACAAGACATGTTTCAAGTTGCTAAGACGCACGGGCGTAGTTACTTAGACAACAAAAGAGTAAACATGCTCACTAAATTGGTTTTCAGGAATGCAACAAACACGGTTGGGGAAACATTGGCCATGACAACATGAACCGTAAAGGAAGGCTGAAATGGGAAGGCTGAAAGATGCTGAAATGTGTTCATTCCTTGAGCCAACGACTGTGACCAACCTGGTTGTCACACATGCAGGGCAAACCATGAAACAGCACAGTTGGCGCGACCTTTTTCTTCCCCAAGACCCGGGTCAGATCTCTGCTGCTTGGGCCTTGCGGGAGGAGGGGTGAACTGGCAGTGACTAGCCACGGGACAAGTAGTGGAATTCATGCTCCATCTCGGGGTGAAGCATTTGGATTTGACGGTGAAACTTAGACCGTTTGGAGGCATTAGACTGTTTCCTCCCCGAGGAGCTTCAAGCGTAAGTAGCTTTACTGAGGAAAGGATTGAAACCACCAAGCAGTGGAAATCAAGAGGGGTGGACTGCCTCTATTAAATCCACCCATCGCCTTGGCCACTTCGATACTCGTGGCTCGCTCTATTCAAGGTTACAAGCTGTCCTTGAGTCTTGAGGATACTTGACGGGGTCTTAGTAGGGAAGTGGGTCAGATTGAGTGACTTCACTTCTTCCTATTGGGAGGTTTGTCAACATAGTTGGCAGAACCAGCTCACCAAGTGTCACAAAGCCATCACTGGGTCCTCCAGTGGAAGGGCTTATGAATTCGGTAAAGGCCTTTTAAATGTGTTTCAGCTGGATGTAGTGTTTGTTGTAGCGTTTGTTCCTAGAAATTGTCTGTCATTACATCTGGTTTAAGGGGCAATGTATTCATATCTATTCTCATCTTGAGGTCCCATGCATTGAGACAGAAATCGCCCATGCGACGGATTCCAAGCCAATCTCTAGACGATTACACCTTGACTTTGCAACATCTGGCGCACGATCCCAAAGAACACAAGCCTCTAGGCATGTATGCAGACTCCGAGACCTGTGTTGGATGCAAGTGATTCACACCATCTTCGACCCTTTCCACCCAAGCACCGAAACGGAGGTACCCTCCCTAGAACTCACATGGTTACGTGGATGGCACCACCTGTTTGTAGTGGATTTCGTGGTCTTCCTTTCGGGGCCATTCTCCACTTCCATGTTAGTTCCAGGGAGTGTAGTTCAAACTCTGACGACGGAGGGTCAACATGATGAATACATGTTCTGCACGACGGACACCGCACGCCTAGCTGCGCTGGGCCGGCAGGCACACTAGGGGCTCAAGTCATCCTCATCTTCTGGAGGCAGCACCACCTCTGCAACAAGCTCGTTCAGGGAAGCAGTGTTTGTGAAAGTTATATAGGTACGGTATTGTTTAGTATTATCATTAATGACGATTCCAACACTGCAACCGAGTAGAAGGTGATGGGCATTGCACTACTGCTACAAACAAAAGCTGTATCAAAAAACAGTGACAGTCCTGTGCTGATGGTTGCAGTGAGTTGGATAGGCCAAAAGTGGAACTTAGGCTGCCATGAATCAAAGGTCCACTCCAATCGAGAATATAAATCAATGTACTCATTGTAAAACTCCATGTCACAATTGCTTTGCAAATGAGCTCATAGCCTTCCAAGAGCCCATATTTGACTTGTGGATTTCCAAGTTCTTCAATTGTTTAATTATCATCAATGCCAAAGTCCATCACCTATCACCTCACTTGTGTAAGGTTTTGCTGGCCCTGATTGTGACGGGAGTTTCTGGGAATCTGAGGTGATGCTACGTTTTCTTGAGATGTTTCTTTTTGGTCTCAACATCAAACTTGTTCATGCGAACGTGCAGCCCGCAATGACGTCAACAACCCTGTGAAGCTTTTCCTGGTACAAAACGCCAGTATGCCTTGGACACCCAAACGTCCAGGCTCTTTCCAAAATGTAAAAAAAAAACATCCAGCCTCTCAAAAACCCAAGCGAAGCAAATCCAGGATATTATCTCATCATTACTTGTGGATGACGTTTATGATGATAAAAAGGAGGAGGACGACGACAAGGAGGACAAGGACAAACTTCTTGACCAACAATCACTATGATGAAATTGTGCTGACAGTCCGTACCGCAGCAGCCAGCCAGTTCTCCTGACAAGAAACACAACCCAAAAACAGTGAAGCTGATACATTGACAATTGATGACAATTGCAAGCAATATGTGTCTGGTGTGCCTACAGTAATCTAGGGTCAAACGGTCAAACCAGTGGCATGGTGGTTTGCTTCAGGGTCTTGAAGCGGTGAGCTGGTAACCTGGGTAACTGCAAAAATCCCTGCATCAAGGCATCGTACGCCAAGCGCACGCCATCAGCGCAGCCACTTGACGGCAGCTGGCCGTAGCCACAACACCCCGGACGTTAGCAAAATGCAAGATTTCGTCAGGCCTCTACCCCGGTCAGGACGTAGAGTCCTGGCTCAACGTCCAATTGACTCCCTTGATCCGAACCTCCGTGTAAAACCGATGAAGGGAAGTCGAGTCGCCGACCGGAAGGGGGCGTCGCTCCTTCGCCAGCCATTGAGCCCAGAGGTCACACCGCGCGGGGTCGGTCCGCCCGGCCTTTGACAAGGAGGTCTTCAATTGCAACAGGCTATGCCTCGGCGATCACCACGCGAGCGCCGCGGGATCGGAAGGTTGACCACAGAGTGCGGGTTCCCGAAGGAATTCCACCACACTATACATTGAGGGCAGGGTTGGCCTCTTTTATATGGCCACCTTTCCCGCGTTTCCCACAGACAAAGAGGCCAACCCACTAGTCAAACTATACACACACTTTTGACTCACTAACAGTGGGAGGTGGCAAGGACCGTCTTCCAGTGTCCGGCACAGGATCGAACGCCCGGTGCGCATCTGGATCGATCTGGGCCGAGAAGTCCGGTTTCGGGATCACCCAAATGCGGAGAGTATTCACCACCGAAGACGTTCCAAGCCTTTCTGCTCGACTCCCTCCAAGATTCTTGGAAAAGATTTACATTTTGGTTGGCAGGGGGCACGCTTTAAATCTTTTTAAAGGTTCTTGAAGGGACCAAAGTCTTGTTCGGAACTGCTGGGCAATCTCTGGCAGCGCCCTCACTCTCCCTGGCTGTCCGGAATGCAGTTGGCAAGCGCTCTACCCGAGTGCTTCACGTAGGACAACTCTGGTTATTCGAAGCGGTGGTGAAACACGGCCTGGCCTGGTATTGAGAGACGGGTCACTGAAATGTGTGCCCATCTGATCCCATCTGACTCAATTCCGATGACCAATCCCCTGTGGTTTGGTTGCTCCTTCGAACTGAACGCATTTTTTCCGCCATCCCAGCCCAGGTGCTGCTTAGCCTTCTTGGGCGGGGAACGTTTCCTCAGCGCACATGGCTTCTTTTTGTGCCATATTCCACCAGGGTCTTGTACAACACCCATATTTTGATGCTGGATCATTGGGGCATATTGGTGCATTGAAGCCACTGTGATATGTTTCCGAGTTCCAGAATCTGGCACATCTGTCAAATCACTCAAAAAGTGAGCTGTTGGATCACCCATCAAGCTGGGTTTTTCGTCTTGCGCTGCAAAAAGCTGACATGAAATGGAACTCCCTGTCTTTGTAGGGAACCAAGAGTAACTTGTCGCACTGTCTTCTTGGGGGTGAATAAAATCCATGCGTTCTATAGGTTCCCAAAAGTGTTGATGACTCCTGTCTGAGGGAAGCTTCTGTGGTGGCATTGCCGGGGCCCCATCAATGGTGGAGTCTTCACTTAACCGGAAGGATCTTCTGGTGTATGTAAAATGTATAGTGTACACCTTTAAAACATATTCGCTTCAGACAAGCTTTTGGTCAAGCCAATAGCCTAAAACATGCATCTCACCAAAAAAGTGCGCCCACAAACACGGTCAGCCCAGCCCTGCAAAAACACCGCATGATATTCTCAATAGAGAGGCCATGGGAAATTGTGGGCAGCTTGGCACAGCAGGCAGCTTGGACACCGGCCCATGTCACCCATGTCTATCAAAAAGGTCCGTAAAGGCCCGGTGCACGGCACAAAAACATCTTCGCACACTGCACTGTACAAGCCTTTGACTTCGGTCGAGCCTGCAGCCTGCAGCCGCCTGCCCGGCAGCCGCTCCGGAGCTCAGCCCACCCTGTAGGATTTGATCCGCCCGACCCCCATGACTTTCACCTGAACCCTGCTGGGCTGCCTCGCTGGGCGTCGAGGTTCGCGAGACCTGGAGCTTCGCGGCGGTCGAACTGCAGGGCACTGCACCAAGCACAGTAGCTGGAGGCAACAAACTCGTGCCGGCGGCCAAAGGGGCTAAAGGATTAAAGTCTTCCAAGAGACCATGTTTGCTTTCTGTGCATGCGGCGCAAATCAGAGGGTCATCTACTTCAAAGATCTTGAAATGA